CAAAACAGAGTTTGTCATGTCAAAAATGGGAAAACTACACTTAATTTTACCCTAACAACACGTACCTCGCCATGAGAAGCCAAATCGTTGCGGATGTTGCTCGGATTTCGAAAGTGTTTGAGCATTCCTTGAGTCCAAAATGAACTAATTAATTAAATGAAAAATCTATTTAAATTAATTTAATTTAACTTAACCAGTAAATCCCTTTGAAAACTTCTTAATAAAAATACCTACAAGTTCGAGAATTAGCACGGCACTTCAAGAAGTAACCTTAAGTAAATATTCTTTCAGTGCAGAAAAACTGTTTCACTCACGAAGACATGTAGACGAATCTTAATAACAGAGTAACGGTTAATTTATACACTCAATTAGGCAGCAAGTACAGCCCTTCTCTCGACATATATACTAAACACACATCTCAGATCTAGGCTAAAAATTTCCCTATTAACCGCCAGATTGTCAAATGAACTATGAATTTGTACAATTTGCTGCAATGTCACCAGTCGAAAATAGACATAACCAGTCGATGAGCGACAGATGAATAATCTTGGAAATATAATACTTTAATTTCCTTTGCTAACACTTACTACATTAAATCACTATCATTCTACATGGGCTTTAAGTAAATTTAGTGGTCTTCCTCTGCGGGTTGGTGACCATGTAAGTGCATAAAACAAAACTTGAAGATTAAATTTAAAGTAGAAAAAAACTGTTTTTCTTTAAACCTGCATATGCTCACCAGCAGCGAAGGTTTCCAACTCCACAAGCGACTGCTCGTTGGCAAGAAACTGTTCGAACCACAGACGGATCTTGCAGACGACAGGAGGGTCCACGGCCAGACCCGTGGAACTATTTGCGCATACCTTTTCGACGAATCCGCGAACGGCTGGATCCTTCAGACTAGTCGTTGTACAACAACATCGCTTGGCGACATGAGCGACGAGATTTCGCAAATTATACTTAATATAAGTAGACAGACTTGTCCATGACATGACTGCTGGTGCAGTCATTCAACTGAATCAAAAACAAACGCCAAATGATCCTAAATTCAATCAGAATATATGAATGACACTACAAAGTAACTTTATGTAGTAGCACAAGAATAACTCCATCGAATCCCCTGTACTATGAATTCCCATGAACAAGATAACCTTAGGTTGATTCGCAGCACTTATCCCGAAACGGGCAGTAAGTCGATGACTTGCGAATGATATGGCATGCTTGCCCAGTCATGACAAAATGAACGAGTTGCTTGGCCATGCCGTTTGA